TATAACTGGATCAGCGATTCATAAAATCATCATCAGGAAAAAAAAAATCATCATCAGGATTTGGTTTCTTCATCCATACTCCTCAGCTCTGCTTCCTCAGGATGCCTTCACCCCTAATCAAATATGTTCTCTTCTCTTAATGGAAAGATTACTGTCATCAGCAATTAGAGCCACAGCCTTTCTATATCCTATCCTAGTAAGGAAAAAAGGGAGCACTTTTTCAACATTCCCAAGAAAAGTCGTAAAAGTCACTCTACTTGGATAAGTTTAGTAGGCAAGCATACTTCCCGGAAAAGACACAGTGGCTAGGCAAGGGGATGTATGATGGTTGACTTAGGCCTGAGTCACAGAGTTGTGTGTGTGTGAGTCACAGAGTTATGCCACCCAGGAAGGTGAAACGAAATAGGGAGGAAGTCAGATCTCTGCATGAAAATTAGAGAACATTAACAGTAGAATGTTTGCTGGGAAGGCAAACAACAAATGTCTCCCACAACAACCATACCTGGCCAATATATTATTTCTTTGATGTAGAAAATATTCATACTGGTAAAAGAGCACTAGAGAAATTCATTTATTTCAGCTTCCAAAACTTCTAGGTAAGCCTTTTCAGCAACAGTATTCAACTCTGGCATTTCATAATATACATAGGATTAATTTAGAGGCAGATAGCAAAGAACAAGAATAATGGGGCAAGATAGAATATCAGTGTTGTTTTAATTTGCATTCCTCTAATGACCAGTGATCAATGGGCTACTACTCTGCCATAAAGATAGATAAACTTGAGTCTTTTGGGGGGAAATGAATACATCTTGAAAACCTAACATTACGTCAAATAAGTCAGACACACAGGATTAAATATGACATGGTTGGGCCGGGGATTTAGCTCAGTGTTTCCACTGCCTGCTTCACAAATGCAAGGACCTGAGTTCAATCCCTGGAACCAAAAAAAAAAAAATCACATGGTTTTATTAACTAACTTATTAATTCCTATATGAAAAATTCAAATTATAAATACAGAGCAAAATTAAAGATAATAGGATGTAGAAAGATAAATCTTTCTCAAATGGGAAGGGGATAAACATATGGAGAGAGGGGAGAGGGAAGGGAGTGAAAGGGGATAGGAAAAGAATTGGAATATGTTCTGTCCATGTACCAACTCCACACAAGGAATGGAAAAGTTACTGCAAACATAATTAAAAAAAGAATAAATGGGACATTTAAAAGGAAAAGTCTCAACATTGAGAGGACCCAGAAATTGGTCTGATTTAATACTTTAATATGTTGTCCTTTAGGGGTCAGGAAACATTTTCTGTGAAAGACTAGACAGTAAACATTTTTGGTTTTGTGGGCCATACATTTCATAGAATGTTAAGCAACCATAGGTAATAAGTAAACAAATGTGTGTAGTTATATTCCAATAGAACTTTATTTATAAAAAACAAGCAGTAGGCTAGACTTGGCCCAAAGATGATAGTTTGTTGACTCCTCCTGTTGTAGATGGATAATAATGTACCATGTAGGAGTATGGTCTCCGGTGTTACATATACATAAATGGTTTTGAGTTCTGCTTCTGTTGCTTGCTAGCTCTGTGTCCATGAACAATTTCCTCTGCTACTCTAAACCTCAATTTCCTCAACTGCATAAGGATAATAATAAATATCTGAGAGGATTGCTGTGGGAATTAAAGAGAAAATGCATATAAATCAAAAGACACAATGCCTGACATATAGTTAGTGGTCAATAAGTAGTAGCTGCTATTATAATAATAATTAGTAAGAAAGTCTGTCAGGGGAGCACCTTGTGAGAGGACAGAGATGGGATAACAATGAGTTTCAGTGTTGTTTAAAGGATGTCCTTTCATTAAAATATATCCCAGTTGCATTTTTAGTGTAATGGATTTTGTTTCATTAATTATAACTCAGAAAGAGAATTGTAGCCTTCAACGAAGGGCCTCCAATGACTCATTTTTCAAGAAACTGAATAAACCTGAAAAGGCCAAAAAGGTACTAAATATCATTTTTTTAAAAAAACATTAGTAATTAAAAAGAAAATTTTAGCTTATTTATTTTTTGTTCACATTTAGCGTTTAGGTACTTGGTAATAATTGCCTCCACTAAGGACTGAGTAGAGTTACAGAAAGTTTGGAAAAGACACACTGGAGTGATTAATAGTCTTGATGGGTAAACACATGAAGCCCAACTAACAAGATGAAAACTCTTCAACCTGGGACACTGTTCTGGAAAGAATGTGTAGTGTACTGGTGGCCTCTTCTGTCAATAAGACCTGGATATGAATCCTGGCTCGGTGGCAAATTAATTTGTGATCTTGGACAAGTCATTTAAGGTCTATGGATTTACCTGTTTGCATATGTAAAATAGGAATATGAATAGTGCCCTCCTCATGGGGGTATTTTGAGGATTATGCACATAATTCATGAGCTTCATTCTTTGCACATAGTGAGCACTCACTGATTCTTATTAATATCCAAAGCTTCTAAAATCATGTATGAGATGATTGAGATATCAGTCAGTTTTGTCACTGTGACAAAATATCTAAGATAATCAACTTAAAAAGAAGAAAGATTTACTTTGGGTTACAGTTTCAGAGGTTTCAGTCTGCAGTTGCCTGGCCTTGTTGTCTTTGGGCCTATGTCAGGGCAGGTACATCAGATCAGGAACATGTGGCAGGGTTTACCTCATAGCATCCAGGGAGAAAGGAGAGAGACATCTCCATATCTCTTTCAAGGGCATGCCCCCAATGACCTAATTTTCTCCCACTGAGCCCCATCTCCTAAAAGCTCCACCATCTCCCAGTAGTACCATATGCTAATGACCAGGCCATTAATAAGTGGGACTTAGAGGGATACTAATCCACATCAAGGCAATAATCATCAACACAAACCCTTTCATAAACTGAAGCAATTAATTTGGGAACAGAATGCCTTTACATTAAATATAGGTGAAAATCCATGTAAAGGGAAGAGTTATTTAAATGGCAGGTTGTGAATCTATGATGTCCATTGTCTTGTTTGATGTTATAGACTGAGAATAAGTCAATTTGATAAAAGATTCATGAATGATATAATGGTCATGGATAACTAAGGGAAACATGATATTTGACAGTTGTCGCTAAACTCATGGCTAAAATCAAAGAGAACAGGGCTATCTTCCCATAAATTCTCCTTGGAATGAGATTGTTGGAAGGGATATTTCCTGAGGTTAATAGAGTGAGGGCAGTTCTCAAGTGAAAATAACTGACTAACTTCTGTCTGGGTGGATCAAACTTTAATTTTAACTTTGATTTTTCCCAGGATGATGTCAGATAATCATCAAAAGACTTTAAAGTTGTCTTTTGTCTCCTGGCATTGTGCAGGTACTATAAACATTATTGTTCAAAAAGACTCAAAGGTTTGAATGGAGAGTTATGGAAATGTGAGAGCTTTTTGTTAGAAATTTTTGTTAGAATCTTGACTCAACAAACAAGAGCCTACTCAATCATATATGCAGATGGAATGTATTTTTAAATGAGTCAAAGAATTTTCTCCAATTTATTAGAAACACAAATGAAATTTCAAATTTCTAGAAGGCACTGAGTTTTCTGTGCCTCCTTTGTAGACTAGAGTATGAATTTCAACCAGCAGCTATGTGAATATAAGTTATTAGAGTGGCTATAGGAACTACAATTGAATCTGTTAGGGCAATCAGGAGGGTGTGGCCTAGAAAACTTCTTATTTTATTCTCAGGAAAAACAAGGTTCTGGCATTAGAAAGATATGCTTTCAAATTCTAGTTCAGTAACTTACTAGCTGTATGATGGAGGCAGATAAGTGAACTGCTCTGAACCTTCGATTCTTCATCTTTAAATTTTTAAAACATACCTCATAAATATGCAGTGAGCATTAAATGCTAGAAATGGAAATTACATCTTTTAGTAATATGAAACTTAAATAATTATCACTATCAAATTAACGTACTCAGTACAGTGCCTGGTATAAAATAGGCACTCACCATTATTAGTTCCAAGGGGATAAATCTTCTATGGATAGGGAAAATAGAATACTAATCTACTCCTCTACTGGGCTACTATAAAGAAAGTTGGTGAATACAGTCATAATTGGCTTATCACTGAGCTGCGTAGATAAGAAAACCAGATTCATGTAGGCTAAGTACTAAAATCAATAAATAGGAAGCAAGTTTAAACAGTCAAAGCCACTACCAAGAAGTAATACCAATAACTTAGTGCATGAATGTTCAAAGGCTATAGCCATGATTAATGACTGGCCAGCCAAACTGGCCTCGTCAATGAGACATATTTACTAAAAGAGTCTGACTGACTCTACTACTAGTATAAATAATTTCTGAAACATTTGTTCTTAAAATGTGGTCAGTGACTCCTGATCCATGATATCATTAAAGATCCATAACACTATATTATCTAGAAAGTTTTTCCATTCTGGTGGCCAAGTAATATTTGAAATTTCATAGGTAGGAAATGAAACAGGTCACCAAAGAAGAGGGCTTTACAGGTGTGATACAAGCTTCTAAAGTCTTCCCAATGGCGTGTGATATTTGATTTTGCCAAAATGCTAGTAAAAATTCTTTATATCCTAAATGCCGTATTTTGCTTCAGTGAATTGTGAGAATAGGTAAGACGATCTGGGTAGAGATGACATTTCGGAATTCAGTAAAGCATGATATTACTGTATCATCATGGATAGAAGTGAGAGTAATGACAGCATGGTTCCTGTGTGTTGTCATCTGAACAAAATGGAGATGGTAAGAGTAAGACCAGTCACCCACTTCTCCCTCTCTACCAGTATTTTTCAGTGGCTTATGTTTGTAGTTATATGTCACCCATGACAGTATGTTCTGACATGCTGAGGTATGTAATATGGTAAAAAGCTTCTTGGTGCAAGGGGAGGCAAGAGTAGCAAGTAAAAACCATAGGTATTTAGTAACTTTATTACAGCTATAGAAAAATGAGAGAAATAGGTAGGCTGGCTGATGTTGAGGCAAGTTTCCCAAGAGGCCAATCTTCAGTGCATTCACTATGATTCACACTGTGGTGCTGACTTTGCAGATAATAATCTTATTTTTAGCATGCTGAAAGGTGATTAGGATACAAAGGATTAGTGCTATTATAATCCACAAGAAACTGACATGTAAGGCAAACACCAATTTATTCACTTATTATGAGAAACACTTGCCAAATAGGCGAGAACACTTACATCAGCTGGTTAGCAAATATTCTTCCCATAATAAAGTTTATATAAGAAAGCAATTACAATGAGATTACTTGGAGATCACAGAGTCAGAACAAAGAGAGATACGTGTCAACCTTAATGATTAATAACACAAATTGGGATGATCTTATGCCTCAAGCCCATTGAAGGGTACAGTGCCAAATGGCTTATTGGTCAATGTCCCAATTCTGAGGCAAGGAAGACACTGATGCCCATGTTTCTTTCTTTCCCTCCTTTTCTAGATTTGATGCAGACCCTTTTCTTGTTCTTTTTCAGATTTATCACAAAATGATTAGCTCCTACCTTCCCAGGGGCATTGGTCATGTAGCAGATTTACTTCTCTAAAATTATATTTTTGATTGGACCTAGGGGCTCCCCAAGCCTTTGCAGTTACAGACTACATTTTTGAATAGGTCACATCTCATCTGATCTTTGTGGATTCTAATTAGTTTCACTCTCAGAGAAATTTATATAGCTATAAGTTCTGAGGACACTCCTTTGTAACCCTTCATCCTAAGTAATGAGTCATTCTAGTTGAAGCTGATGGTGTATAGTGGATAATGTCACTATAACAAAATTTCAAAGTGGTAAAATGGTTGGTAGGTAGTAAGCAGTAAAACACTATCACATACTCCAACTAATATGCTCAGCCTGGCTATTGGATTGAGTTACACAGTATATAAGAGTCCCTTGATGGAAGTACCTCAGCAAAGGACCTACAGAAGAGGGAAGTGAACTGAACTTCACAGACCTGGACAAATTATCGTTGCTAAGAGGCCATGAAGTCAGAAGAATTTTTGAGTAAGAAGGTAATGTTACTGCAAATGAAGTGTCCATACAGAAATAAGGTGATACATCTTTGTGAGAGCTTACAATGATAAATTATGGCCTTAAAATAAGGAAAGATTGGTGATCAAGTCACCTGTGTGATCCTATTGGCATTCCAGGAACATACTAGAGTCAATGAAGAAGTAACTGGAGACCATCGAGTTAGTCCTTTATTTAAAAAAAATTAGTGGAGATAGATCAGGATACCACCAAGTAATCCTAGTAACTCAAAGTTCAAACAGATCTACTTGGAGAATCTCATAAAATCCCAGTGCCACAGTAGAGATTTCTCAGCATAACTAGAATATGTGCTCTACGGTCTCCCTATTGTGGGAATTTATGCAGTAATGTGGGTATATAGCAAGCTATTGATAAAGGAGATCCTGTGCACGCAAGTCAAGTTTGGCACAGTAGTTAATGAGACACTGATGGGTGAAAAGATGTGTTTGTGCTACAGGATGAGAGTAGTAAGAGCTAGCTGTATTTAAATGTTGAACAGTTAGAACAATTTTCCAGGAAAATGCCAAAGTACAATGGCACTTTGTGTTCTGAAAGGCTTGATGGCTACTAAGGAATATGAAATTATTAATCTTTAAGCAATCCGTGATGGGGACATATATTGACACAAGAAGCAGGGACCAGAGGACTGGTAATTACCAGCAACTGCTGATTCTCATTGGATACCCTTAGTACTTTAGGAAGCTGTGCCTAGAAGCATCACCTCTTTATATACAGAGCTGGTACATGTCAGGAGTACAACACAAGCATCCAAATTCCCCTACTTCTTGAATTTTATACACAGATGGTGTTCATGTATGTGTCCCAACGTTTTCCAGATGAGATGGTTCAGAAAGTTGTCTACAACTCTGCTTTTCAAGATTCTCAGTTAGATGAGGGACCCCAGATGTGTGGTATATAAGGTTAGAGCTCAAAAGCAATGGACAATGATCCCAGATAGTGACCAAATTGAGGCCCTTACAATAAGGAATTACTATAGGGCCTGATTCTCAGTCCTTAGTAGAGATATGTTTGACCATATTCCCTGTTCAAGGATGCAAGAATACGATACAAACAATAATATGATAGGGCATCTTCTTCAACTCTCACTAAATATCTTTCAGAGGTCATTATCTTAAACCATTTTGACTTAGCCATAAAATATTCTGAAATCTCAAATAAGATCATTAGTAAAGATGGGAGATCACTGGGATTGGTAAGATATAGCTAAAAGTACATGCCTGCCAGAAGGGTCCAACAGTTCGAAGTAGTGTTCAAATGGTCATACAATCTGGTTTGTCAATAGCCAGGAGATTCAGTTTGTTAGGCAAAAAGTCTTTAGATGGCAACAAAATATATAGCTGTGTGGATGGGCGGCAAAGCTGTAGTTCCAGGAAGGTTGGTTTGTAGTAAATCTAGACTCTAGTCAATAAGTGGAGCAGGATCTAGTATTTACAAGGTGAATATTAGTAGGATATAGTAATGTAACTAGTATTTTAGGCAAAGGACCTATGCTGAGATGAAACTAGGATACAGATCAATGAGGGAGAGTACAAAAATGTTGGGCTGATTCCTAGGTGCACACCACAGGATTTAGCCCAATAAATTCAACCCAAATCTCATCCATTAGTAAGGATGGGATTCCCAATATACTTTCAAGCCTATTTTATTGGCTTAGACTGTGGAGAGTTTTGCCTACAAACTTTCAATAATCTTGGAGGAATTGGTCCCAACTGTAGAAGTGCCTGTGAATTGTTTTCATCATTATTAGTTCATTGGTGAAGGGTCAGCTCCCAATGAACAAGATCTAGTTGCTTAAATTCCCAAAAGCACAAGAGTTCATGGCTGCTTGTAAAGTTGTATCACAGTTTTCCACTTGTATTTTAGAGTTAGTACAGGATATAAATCAGTAAGCCTGGGGATGAGAGGGATATAAGTGTACAAAGTGACCTTCTAGGCTCCTCTTACTGGTGAGCTGTGTTATCTGTCCTTTCTGGGGCTCGAGAACGTTTGGCAAGGCAATCTCTTGTGAAGTGACCAGCCTGGCTGCAATAGAGGCACAACTGAGTTTCCTGTTGGTGGGCTCTTTTAGCTGGGGTGAGAGGTTGCTGGCCTCCCCGAAGTTTTATAGGCTCTTCCTTGGGTGGTGGGCCTGTGGAGCTGGAGAGGTATTGGTGAGGGATCAGGGAACCCAACAATGGGGGGCGAACTTCTGATTGTAGAAGCTCTGGCCTGTCATTATACTTCTTATCCAACTGAATGCACTGAATTATCAGATCTGGGAGATTTCCCACCATACCTGTGACACTTTTTTCATCTTGGATGGGGTCAGACAGTCTCTCTTGGAACTTTTCTCTGTGATTTGTTTTATTACAGGTCAGATTTTGAGAAAGGAACTGGAAAGTAGTAACATCCTGCTGAGAGGTGTTGTCCCCTTTGTCAACCTTATCATTCATCAGAGGATTCATTTTTTGTTTTATGGGTTCACAAAATGACTGCTGGAAGTCAAGAACAAAGTTTTCATTTGCTTCAGTGGAATATGCTGGTCATATTGAGATATGACTCCAAAATTTTTCTTCAGCTGAGATAGGTAGTGAGAAAAGAGCTGACCTGGGCATCAGCTACAGGATTGGGAATCTTGAGAGCTGTCAAGTAGCTAGTCACTTAAGCAAAAAATGATTGACAGGGTCACCATGGAACTGGGTGAAATGCTCAAGTGATTAGGGTACAGATATCACTGGGGTGGTCAGAGCAGGCATGATGTTACTTCTCAGAGCAGTTTCCCTCGGACAGATGCTGTCTTTGTGGCTGCAGAATCAGATTCTCTTTTTGAGGAAAAGAGTATACCGGCAAGGTTTGTGGTGATTCTGTGTACTTCTTCATTATGTCTCCTGGAATCTGGTGAGACTGAGTACAATTGAAGACTAGTACTGGAGATCAATAGAAAGACTGCAGCTTTGTTCTGTAACCAGAGAGGCAGTGTCATCAGCAAGTAGCCCAAACTGTTAGTTATGAAAAGTCACTTGTGGATGCTGAGAGCTGATTGGAGAGATGCTCAGAAGTGTCTGCTACTCAGTGTTGCCTCTTCTTCAAAGAGAATGTCAATGTTCTGCACATTCTGAAGAAATATGTTACCTTAGGACACAGAAGATTTGGAATTAAGAAGATACATAAAATAGTCACAGTACTTTCCTGTCCACCCTCCCATTTTCTGTAATATAGGGCAATTTGCTCTCATATTAAGTCATGATTCCAAAGTTTTTCATTAGAGTCAAATAATTTTACAATCCAAAGTGATTTTAGAGATCATCTAGGCCAAATTCATAATTTCACAGATGAGGAAACAGAGACCAAAGAAGCAAACATATTTGCCTAAGGTCACTCAGTCAGTTAACGTCAGAATCCACAGGCTCATGGGGGCTGCTGTCCTAAACAGCTCTTTGTCCTAGACCACAAATGTGCTTATTTGCACATACTTCCTAAATATGTCCATAGTTCATGCTTCTGGGTATTCAAAATGTAACCTAGGAAGAAGCAGCATCTACATCACCATGGAGGTTGTTAGAAATTCAGAATCTCACATCCCATCCAAGAACTATTGAATCAGTTTTCATACTTTAACAAGTTTCCCAAGGTGATTAGAATGTGCATTTAAGTTTGCAAAATGCTGCTGTAGAGAGCATTTAATCTGAATTGGAATAATCGTGCCCTTCAGTACTCAAGCCTATCCTGCAATGTTTTAGAAATCTGCTTGCTATAATACTAGTTAATCCACTTTTTTTCTGGCTACCTAGTCCTTGTCTGAGGTCATTTAGTTGCCATTGAAATAATCAAAAATCACAGGCAAGATCAAGAGGTAAGACTGAGAGCCTAGCAAACAAGAACTGACTATTCTTTTGTTTGTTTGTTTGTTTGTTTGTTTTTTGGTACGGGGGATCGAACTCAGGTCCTTGTGCTTGGGAGGCAGGCAGTGGAACCACTGAGCTAAATCCCCTGCCCAAGAACTGAATATTCTTAAAACTACAAAGATCAAAATGTTTAGCAGTTCTTGCATTGAGAACAAGAATAAAGCCACCAACAAAAGATAAAGGATTCACTCTACATGGCATATCAGTTGAACTTTTCCATATTTCACTGACTTTCCTTGTGTAGCATACTATTTAAATATATTTATATTATCCAGAGGTGGGGAAAAGAAGTATATCATAGAATTTTTAAAAATATAACACTTGTTTCTTTAGGTTTTATTTGATGCCTTCTACTTTCTAGATCTATGGAAAAATATTGGAAGACTAAAATAGTGTAAAATTGGGGCCCAGAATCTGTAATATATACAATAACTAATTAATCAGATGACCTTGAAGAACTCATTTAGGTCTCAGTTTCCTTTGTGTGTGTGTGTGTGTGTGTGTGTGTGTGGCGGGGATTGAGGCGAGGTCTTGTTCTGCAGTTCAGGCTGGCCTTGAACTATGTAGTCCAGGCTGGCCTTGAACTCACAATGATTGTCTTGCCTCATCCTCCCAAGTGCTGGGATTATAGACATGTGCTACCACACCTAGCTTTTCAGTTTCCTTTTCTATCTAGAAAGAGTAACTCTCTTGTCTATGCCAAAATGTTGTTATACTGATGTGGTAACAGATAGGTTCTTTGTGTGTCAAAACAATGAGAGGTTTGCTTCCAAAATTGCTCCAAATGAAGCTGAGCAATGCCTACAGTGAGGCTCTATCCTCATCACATATTGCCAAAGCAGGAAGATACAGTCATACCCCTTCCTTCCTGTCTTCCTTCCTTCCTTCCTCCCTTCTTTTCCATATCTCACCCTTCTAGTCACCTGATCTACCTTCCAGATATTTTTCACTTCCCAGATCCCCATTCATGAATTCTTTCCCACATATTCAGCAGTAATCAGATAGTAAGATATTAGCTTATAAGGATTAATGATTAGCTTTTCTCAGCACATTTACTTTATAATTCAAACTTTAATGTGCATAAGAATCAACTCAGTCGCAAATCCTAGCAAGTCTGACGCTAGGTATAGGGTGAATCCCAGAAATCTGTACTTTAGCAAACTGGTCACTTGATTTCAGATGTAGATGATCCCTGTGGAAAAGGCTGCATCTCAAAGAATAAAGCCTTATTAGTAGTAACACAGAGAACCAGAAGTGGGGAGGGAATATATTTGAAAGTAAGAAGTTGGTCCTCAAGTGACATAGAATGGGTGGCACCCAATTCTATTTTGTCAGAAGCCCACAGAGGGCCCACACTGTCCTTCACAACTGCTTATCTATCCCAGGCAGTAGAATGCAAGAGTTAAACATTAGGTTCTATGGTCAAACTAACTGGGTCCAAATCATGGTTTGAACAAAAGCTGCATCACTCTGGGCAAATTATTTCACGTCTTTGAGAATCAGCCTCCAAACTTTAAAATGGAAATGCTTATAATACCTATCTTATAGTGTTTGTGATGAGTAAATGAAAAGAGATTAGCGCAGCTTCATGCAGATGGCAAGTTCTCCATAAATGTTGCTTATCATTATTCTAGGTCTATCATCTGTTATCTGTTTTTTAGAATTTCAAAAATTCATATTTTTTGAGATTTTAGAAAGGTTGAACACAGAGCATTACTGTTTATTATACAACACTTTCAGAAGTGCTTAGGGAAACATCCCATAATAAGCCATTAACATTTCTGCAAAAAATATGAATATTCATACTAAAAGGGATAAACACTAAATTCATGTCAAGTCAGGTCAGGCATTACTGCCAAATGAGATTTGGCACCAAATTAATAAAAAAGAACTGCCATTTTTTATAGAGCTTTTTGATTTCAGAATCAAAATAAGGAATTGTAGACATCTAGCAAATTCTTTTGATTGAAATGGTATGATTTTCCTTTCCTGTCCTTGCCTTCTGCCCTTTCCCTCTATTCCCAGAAGTTCCAGATCTGTCTTAAGGTCTCCTTTTTCTTTCCAGAATTATGTATTCAAGGTGGCATGACATTTAATTTTCCTAATTATGTAGTACTGGTGAAACATTTGCTAAAATTATAAGCATTAGTCCAAATGCAAATTATACAATGGCTCTGTTGTCAATGGCAATTACTTAATCCATCAAAGAAAATCTACGTTGCCTTATCATTTTGGGAATTGCTCTCCTTTCAGAGGTCAGTGACTTTCTACTGGATTGTCCTCAGAGGATGCTGGAGCAGAGCCTTCCAGTCTGGAGGATCTCACCTTGACGAGATGAGTAAGAGAAAGAACTGGAACACCAAATGCGCAGGCTTGGAGGATCAGATTGTTGAGCTTGGACCAGGTCTGACACAAAACTGCAAATATTTAACTGTTTAGTTATACTTATGTATTTCGACAACAACAACAAATTGGTTTAGTAAAGTATTGCATGCCATTTTGGTGTTCGTGTTCAATTTAGCTCATGGTTAAAAGTTTCCCTAGACACAAAATTCCATTCTGGACTTCTCTGCGATTGTATTTGCAAGGTCCTTGCTACTGTTTGGATCTGGAATGCCCCTCAAAGGCTCATGTATTAAAGACTTAGTCTTCAGCTTGGCATTATTGGTGGAAATTTTTAATTAGTGGGGCCTAGTTAGAGGTCTTAGGTCATGGGGAATGACCCTTCAAAGGGGATATTAGGACTCCTTCCCTCCTCTGTTTTTGCTTCTCAGCCTCCACGAGGTGAATAGCTATTTACCTGGTATGATGTACGGCCTCACCAAAGGCCTAAAAGCAACAGGGCCAAATAATCATGGATTGAATCTTCCAAAATTGTGAGCAAAATAAACCTTTCCTCTTTAAAGTTGATAATCTCAGGTATTTTGTTACAGTATCAGAAAGCGGATTAACACAAGCCTTCAGTACCTAGTTGCTTATAAGAGAGATGTGTGATCTTACACTGCCTAATTTCAAGCTATTTTTTTTAAACTTTTTTTTACTTTTAAAAGTTCAGATGTCAAGCTATTATTTGTAACTCATTGGAAGAAGAATCTTGACCTGGGATCTTGACCAGTTATACATTTCATCCTTCATCTTTAGACCTTCTAAGGAAAGCTGTGGCCCAGGATCGAAATTGAGACGTGAATGGCCCTACAAAGTGTTCAGAAGGGCACTGTATTTGAACTTGTCTGGACAGCTGATTGTGAGTCTATCTATGCCATCATCCAGATTGGCAACCTTGGAAGAGTCACTCTCTCTCTAGGCCTCAGTTTTTTATCTGTACAGTGAAAGTATTTGGCTTCTCAAACTTTACTTAACACACATCAGAAATTCTGATTCAAGAGAGCTAGTGGGAAACTCGGAATGGAATTTTTTTCTCCAATGGTATTGACGTAAGTGGTCTTCAGATTTGACTTTGGGAATACTGAGAACTGGCCACACAGAGCTCCAACATTTGTCAGAGATTTCCCAATTTCAGTGCACATTAGAATGCCCTGGGAGTTTAACATAGAGATTCCAGTATTTTGCCATGAGAGACTGTGATCCAATGGTTTTGCAATGAGACTCTGTAATCGGCATCTTAGTCAAACTCTGTTGCTAATGCTGCTGAAGAAGTTTTCTCCAATAATACTTTCAAGAAACTCTAAGTTGAGTATTCTCAAAAAGCCCTTTCTGGTTTATTGCTATCTACATTGTTCAAAGTAGAAAGTATTTAGCTGGAAAAGCAGCCCTTGAAGTGCATGATATGTTCATTGTTTTCTTCCAAGGTTCATTCTGAGGCTCCAAGGCAACCTTAAACAATGGGCTGGTTCAGGGCTTGTTTGGGTGTGTGACATTCAGTTGGCTTGGAGGCAAGTAAGAGAGAGGATAGCGGTTGAACTGACCCTGCTTGCATAACTCTGGTTCTTCCTGGAAGGTATGTATTATTCTGCTCTTCACTGTGCCTGTGAATGATGTAGAAAAGCTGTCCACACATTTCTATATCAAAAATAGAGCAGCCCAATTGAGGTCAATTTGGCCATTGCTATGACTCAGACTTCAGACCTTCCTTTACTCTTGTCTTTCTTCTGGCTCAGCTTGACCCATGCCTTATGAACTTTAAAATGTTATGATTATCAGGTCACAGCTCCCTAGTTTTCCTTTCTAATATGCCTAAGTCCATTAGAGCCATACTTGTTCTATCAG